ACATAATGGGAACAGAGTGTGTAAGTTCAGGAGCAGAAGGAACAACTAAATTGCAGGGAATAAAAAAATCTCAGCAGAAAACTCTGACCTTGATGTGATATTTATTCATAAATTCAAACATTACATAAGTGTCCACCAGATACTATATGCCTTGCTAGCAAGTGAGGATAAAATGAACAAAACATTACACTTACTTTCAGGAGTTTAGGAAGACACATTAAATCCGTATTCTGCTAAGTCCAAGAGGCACCCAGTGTAATAAGGCAATGCTTAGGCATGCGAGGATGCTAAAAGTGATGTAAGGCTACCAGAAATCAACCATATATTCCACATGTATTTCCCAATTTTGCCTAAAGCCAGGTCTGCTTCTCCACTTCCACTAAGGTGGTATCCTGTCTCTTTTAAAGAAATATAAGGACTCCCCGGTTTTGAGAGTTCTCATAGGATTCATTTCCCCCAGATAGTTTAGAAGTAATGGATAAAGAAGTGGAAGCAAGGTTCATTTGACTGTCTAGCAGTAAAAGGAAGGAGAAAGAGAGAATGATAAAGATATAGCGATACAGACTGAGAGGTATGTTCTTTTTCAGGAGCTTTGCAGAATTTGTTTTCTGTCATTTAAGATGGGGATAAAAATTCTTGTTCAATTATAAAGCTGCATATAATCCAGTGATATAATCAATATGAAAAGCTTTAAAATTATAACCCATTATACAAATTTAAGTTGATTTTATTATTATGTTTACGGTCAAAAGAGATGGAGCCAATAAATAAATAAATGCAGAGAAGGTGTTAACATTATTAAGAAAGCAGAGTAGAAGGAAAAAGTGGAGATTAACAGAAAGATTGAAGTAGAGATAAAGATAACTGAGGATAATTCCATCCGCAACTGACTAACATTTTCTCTGACAAAGTGGAATATGACATCATATATAGAAAATGAGAAGGAGAAGTAGAACTTAGGTTGGACTGTGTGTTATAGAATCAACAAGAGAACAAAATGATCAAGCAGCACTGAAGGTCAAATTGAAGCTAGAAAGGATATATTCATAAAGACCCAGGTAAAATGGGTTCTATAAATCTTTCCAAAAATACTCTGCTGTTACTAGATGTACATCCATTCATTTATTCATACACTGATTACACATGGCATCATTGATTTTTCAACCTTCACTCCCAAAGCCCCTGCAATGGACTGAATTGTGTCTCCCTAAAATTCATATGTTGAAGCCCTAACTCCCACTTGACTACATTTGGAGTAAGGAATTAAGGTTAAATGAGGTCATATAAGTGAGGTCCTAATCTGAAAGGATTACTGTTCTTTGACACCAGAGTTTGCGTTCTTGTGCACCCTCGGTCTCTCTGCCATGTGAGGAAAGGTGAAAAGGCAGCTGTCTGCAAACTCGGAAGAGAGCTCTCACCAGGTACCAAACTGGCTGGCACCCTGATCTTGTACTTCCCAGCCTCCAGAACTGTGAGAAAATAAATTTCTCTTGTTTAAGTCACCCAGTCTATGGGTATTTATTATGGTAGCCCAAACGAAGCCCTCATTTAAAAACAAATATTTTGCATCGCCTTCTTTTATATCTTGAAATGAAATGTATTAAAAATCAACGAATTGTCTTAACTGTAGTAAAAAGAGAAATTAATGGAACATGACCTAAAATATGCACTTCAGTACATAAATGCTCAAGTATGACTACTCTAGAAAACATAATGGATGCTTGCACTCACTTACATAAATAAGTTTGGAGTTTTAAAATGTAAGAGGATCGTAAGTCATTCCATACAAGAAAGCCAGGAAAATAAATGAGCTGCCATATACTTCATCACAGTGTAATACTACACCATATATTTTTAACAAAGTAAAGTATAAGCTTTATAATATACTTGTATTCCTATAATATATGATGTATCTCAAAACAATGTAAAGGTACTCTGTGTTTTATGTAGAGCTAGATTTGTTCTAATAATTATGAACATATTTTTTGCCTCCATTATGGTTGATGAGACAGCTGAAAGCCACACGGGACGTAAGAATTCCTCACTGTTTGGCATTGTCACACTATTACAGACTATCTAGCATCCCTGATCATTACATATCAAGAGTACTTCCCCTAAATGACTGCAATAATGGTACCTGTTAATGTCTAAAATGCCACCTTGAGAGTGGCACAATCTCCACTGAGAACCCATGTACTAAATGAATGCCTATGACACAGGCATATGGAACTACATACATTGGAGAGAAGAAGCCAATGAATACAAGCATTTATGAGAACAGCTGGTTACAAGGCATCCAGGGTAAAGAGAGCTGAGTTCGGCCAAAGAATAGATAATGATCAAATAACTACAAATCTTAAAAAGGGAGGCAGCAGATACGATAGATAAGGAGAAGCAGGAAAAATAGAAAAGTAAGGATGTTAAAAAGCCATCATCCCTCAGTACTCACCCTCCATTCAAACGAAGCTAGTAGTTTCTCTATTCCCCAGGACACTGTACTTATTCCAAATCCCAAGACTTTTTTACATTGCCTATGCAAAATATATTTCTCAACAGAATTCAGGCAAAGTCCCACTTTTCCAGAAATTTTTTTGCAAGCACTCCCACCTTTAGGACTTTTTTCCTTGTAGAAATCCTAGTGTTCTACTGCCTGAATATTTATTAACCAGCTACTATGTGCCTATAAGAAGATCCTTTATTCTTTCCATAGAGAAGATAGCAGTGTTCAATGCTATATATGCATTTCAATGAAAATCTGCCCCTTGAATATAAAAATAATCCTGTGAGTTTACTTACCACCCACTGCCTTACAAGGATAGTACGAATGACCAACTTCTACTCTAACCCTAAAAGCGAAGAATCCAGAGATGAGAGTGGGAGAGAAATCAAGATGGGTAGAAGTTCAGTTCTTTCAAAGAATTCATGTGGAAAAGAGGATTGTAAATATATACACCTATCTTTAAATGGACCAGCCAACATAAAGCTAGATTATAGTCGCTTTAGGATAAAGATTAGTGTCTTATAAACTTTATCCCTGTCTCTCCATTCTGTATTTTTATATATTTGGTTTACTTGTTTTCTCTTAATAATCCACTCACACAGGGTGCCTGGGTAGCCCTGCTGGTTAAACCTCCGACTCTTGGTTTCAGCTCAAGTCGTGATGGAGTTGGGCTCCACACTCAGTGCAGTCTGTTTGAGATCCTCTCTCCCTCTCTCTCTGCCCCTCCCGCTGTTCTCTCTCTCTCTCCTAAATAAATAAATCTTAAAAAAAAATTTGCTCACACAATACACATATATTAGGAATCCAAACCATATATCAGATAATATGCTAGGTACTAGCAATTATCAATAAGCAAGATCAATAAGGTCCCTACCGTCCTGGAACTTAGAGATTAGTAAAACAAGCAGATTTTAAACAAAGATGCAAATAAAGATGAAAATAAATATATGATTATAAATCGTGAAGCATAATTTGAAGGAAATGTACAAAGACAGGCTTATCCCTTAGGTAGACCAACTAGGGTGGCTTCCCTGCAAGATAAGGAATATTGTGCTTTTTGACTTATGTGTGTGCATACACATATATATTACACACATCAGTGTGCTTGTACGTGTGTGTGTGTGTGTGAAGTACAGTCCACATAATAGGACAGGTCTGCACCAGGTGAATTATGCCAAACACACACTCCTCTAGCAGCAGCCTCAAACAAGGGCACAACCATATACACTCACTATACAAGGGACAGTTCCACCAATACAGATGCTGTACTCATAGTCCATACTAGTGGTTCTCAAATGCCAATCCTCAAACACCAGATGGCAAGAGAGCCGCATCAGAATCACCTGGAAAGGTGTTAAAAATGTAAAAATTTCCAGTCTCCATTCTCAACAATTTCAATTTAGTACCTGGAATGAATTTTTATAAAGTTCCACCTACATGATTCTGATACTGTTAGATTTGAGCCCTTAGTCATACAGTGCCTTGATTCATTACTTAACTGTTCCATATTTCTTTTATCATGTTCAAAGCATGGCAAAGTACTAAAACTATGCTGTTCAGTGCCAGTAAACACAAAATAGATTGTTTTCAAGTAAATAAGTAAAGGTATTATAAGGAAAGCAATATTTTTTGTTTTTGTTTTGTTTTCTCAAATACAATGACACTCCTTATCAAAAAGCTTTCACTCAGGAATAGAAAAGACAAACTCTGAGGTGATGCTTCTCAAAATGGAGAACACAAACTACTAGTGGTATGGCAGATAATTTAATGATACCCAAAGTGATTTTAGATGATACATATTTTACATGGCACATGGACATATACTAAATAACACCGAGTTACAAGAAAAAAATGTATTATCTTTTCAATTCTCTTTCAGTCAGAAATCCTCAGTTAGCTATTGGTATGTTTCCTACACCTCTCTATCACTGGTTATCTCGTTTTAAGAAATAGAGAACATGCTTCAGAGCCTTTGGAAAACAACCATTATTTAGCCAGAACTTTGTAACATTGTTTTGTTTTCACTGTATCCTTTAGAGCTATCATCCATTTAAAGCATGGGATACTAATTTTTCATTTATAGTAGTGAACTGAATAAAAAGGTGAATTTAAAGAAAATAGCACAAATTGCATGCAGATATTGTAAAAATTATGAGGATGCTCTATGAATGAATTTGAGTAACAATATGTGCAAGGTATTACTAAAAGTAACAACCAGTTTCTCTGTCTCTCACACACATACACAAACACATTCAATAAGTAATTAATATAAATGAATAATCAAAAGCCACAAATTGTTGTATGAAGACATTGAATGAAAAGTCTATTCTACCACTTGACATTGTAGCCAAAATAATGATATTCCATGATATGACAATATTGTTTGTGCATTTTCTTGACTAAATGATAATGATAATCTCTGACCATATATATAAGAAATATGCATATGCTTTTATGTGAAAGCCAGAACAATTTCATTCTGTAATTTATACTTACATACCTTATAATCCTTGGGTCGGTAGCAGCCAAGATGAGAATGATCTGAAAAAGGATGTACAAAAGAATTAAATTATAAAATTTCATATCAAAAAGAAGAAAATTTGGTTTCATCTTTGGTTTTTGCTATGATTTCTATGTTTCTATGTTTATAATTTCTTCGCTTTCTATAATTTCATACAGCAGTTTTCAAAAATATCTTAAAATCTCTCAACAATGCCCTATAAGTAAAGATGATACACAACAGGTTAAAGTCTGTATCCATTCTTCAATAATTAGGTGATTTCACAAATACTGTTTTCACTAGAGCTGGAGATATCAGACTATAGACCAGAATAATTTTTTGTTGCTAAACCAATTTGCCTACATGAAATGGATAATCTTTAGTAGATAAAGTAATTTATGATGAAATATAATTTGAATATATAGATATGATAGGTATTGCCAAACTGCATGGGTTCCCATTCTTGGGAGTCCACACTAGAGTCAAGTGAGTATAACGGCAAGAGGACCAGCTTTAGATTATGGTAACAGAGGTGTACAGACCTTGTTGACAAAGAGATCCATACTACAGTCCAGTCACCAGCACCTCCTGTATAACCTTGGGCTCATTATTTAACCTTTTAAGTCTCAGATTCCTCCTCTGTCTCATGTACCTCTTTCATAATTGTTTTAAATATTATATGAAATACTATATGTAGGCAATAAAATAAATGTTAGCTACTATTACTAACTTCACCATCAACATCGTTACTCTCAAGTTCTAAGTCAAACAAGCCTAGGTGCAATTTCTGATTCCACCACTTATCAAATATATTACTTTGGTCAAGTTATATAATTAATCTGTGTTTCAGTCCTCATTTTTTTTTAAGATTTACTTATTTATTTGACATAGAGAGAGATGGCGAGAGCAGGAACACAAGCAGGGGGAGTGGGAGAGGGAGAAGCAGGCTTCCCGCCGAGCAGAGAGCCTGACATGGGACTTGATCCCAGGACCCTGGGATCATGACCTGAGCCGAAGGCAGACACCCAATGACTGAGGCACCCAGGCACCCTTCATTCCTCATTTTATTTTTTATTAAAAAAATTTTTTTTGTTATGTTAATCACCATACATTACATCATTTGTTTTTGATGTAGTGTTCCATGATTCATTGTTTGCCTATAACACCCAGTGTTCCATTCAGTACATGCCCTCTTTAATACCCATCACCAGGCTAACACATCCCCCCACCCCCCTCCCCTCTAGAACCCTCAGTTTGTTTCTCAGAGTCCATAGTCTCTCATGGTTCATCTCCCCCTCTGATTTCCCCCCTTGCATCTCTCCCTTCCTACTATCTTCTTCTTCTTTTTTTTTTTTTTTTAACATATAATGTATTATTTGTTTCAGAGGTACAGGTCTGTGGTTCAACAGTCTTACACAATTCACAGCGCTCACCATAGCACATTTAAAAGTATGAAGACAATGCCTACTTTGCCTCAGAGAGTCATAGTAATGATTAAATTATACCGCTTAAGAAAGTTCCTAGCACAGTATCTGTAACAAAGCAGATTATAAAACCATTCTAACTCTCTCCTGGGATAAGGACCACTATATTGCAGATGCAGATTTTGGGTTTTCCTCATTACTTAAAGGAGTCAACATTTAAGTATTATAATCTCTGTATATTGACATTCAAGCAAATCAGAACCATAATTTGCAATTCTACTTCCTTACACATTCTAGTCAAAAGCATTCTAACATTCTATATTTTACTTTCCCAAACCACCTTATCCAAAATAAAAAAAAGAAAAGAAAAGAAATTATTATATAGATAGAGACCTAGGATAGTCAATAGTCAATTAATTAGCTTTCTTTTATGGCACAAGATCTTGTTTGTTCTCCAAGTGTCCTGAACCATTACAGAGAAGAGCTGAAACATTAATGTCTTTCACACAAGGCCAACTTCACCATTTAAGTCAGTAAGACTCAACTTACTTCAAGTGCTTTTCAAAATTAAAAATAAAAATAAATCCCAGCTCAACTCCTTTTCCATAAAGTCTAATAATGTATAGCATGGCCACAGTAGCAGAAATAAAAGAATGATACAGACATAATGAACCTAATTCTCCACACGTGCTAACTTTGAAAATTAAGATAATAATTTCTGTCTTGGTATATATTCTTTCTGGCAGCTAATGTAATATTAAAAGTATCAGTATATTAAAATGCCAGTATGTCTTCGGCTTTCCACAAACCATTTGTAAACCTACCCTAACAGAAATAGATTTATAATTTTCTTTTATTTTTAGAAATCCAGCTGTTACTGAGGTTCCCAATGTTTGCACTTCATCACCCTTACCAATAATTACTCACTATATTCTAAAAGCAGGAGATAAAGGAGATAAAAGTCATGGCTCATGCTCAGGAAATGCTTGTAATTTACTTCGGTTAAGTTATACAAAGTTGGGTAAGAGCAGCATAAAAGAAGAGGCTAAGTCAGAATGGTACAGGCAATTAATGCTATTTAAAAAAGTCGTATCAGAGATTAATCTCTCAAGGTTGAAGACAATCAGAGAAAACTTCCTAAAGGAGGAGAAAGCTGACCTGGGCCTTAATGGATGGGTCACACTTAAGAAAAATATGAAGAAAAATTAGAGCTAATTCAGATTGTGCATGTATGTGTGTGTGTGTGTGTGTGACCTTGATCACCTTGGACTTTACTTCTTTATACCTCATTTTTTTTGATCTGTAAAATGGAGATAAATAACAGTATCTAAAATTCTTGATTATTGTAAGTAACCAATGAATATTAGTATTTAGAATCAAGGCCAGCAGAAAACACATTCAATAAAGGTTAGCCATTACCTGGTTCTCTAATAACCTCATGAAACAGAATGGGTGTTATGGACTGAATGTTTGTCTCCTCCCAAAATTCCTATGTTGAAGTTCGAACCCCCAAAGTGATGGTATGTGGAGATGGGACTTTTGGGTAGTAATCAGGATTAGATGAGGTCATGCAGGTAGGTCCTTCACGATGGAAAGAGCACCCTTCTAAGAAGAGACAGCAGAGAGCTTGCACATGCACATGTCCTCGCATGCTACCCCCCCATCTCCTTCTCCACATCTCCTTCTCTACACAAAAAAAGGAGGTCATGTGAGCATACAGTGAGATGGCAGCTTTCTACAAGTCAAGAGAAGAGGTCTCAGAATGAAACCTACTTTGCTAGCACCTCGATTTGGGGCTTCCCAGCCTCTAGAATTGTGAGAAAAATAAACGTCTCCTGTTTAAGTCCCATCTATGGTATTTTGTTATGGCAGCTGGAGCAGACTGAAAGAACACATAAGGCGAACGGTTATTTCTACTTTACATTTCAGGAAGCTGACTTCCTATATAGCCAAAAGTAATGGAACTAAGGTCTTTGATTAGTTCATACAAGAGAATGAAAGTGCCTTTAGTCTCAAAAATGACATCAGATTCTGAATTTAACAAAATGGATGTGATATATAATCAAATCAGTCAAATATCAAGTAGTGACTAACTGTATGAGTTAAAAACAAATGTGGCAATCAGTCATCAAAATATTTCCATAGCAACCATCTAATATAGAAACTAAGATCCACTTTGTACAAAGGTCACCATTCCTGCTGGGAGTAGTCTGGTAACTTAGAGCCTTTGCATCCTTCCTCTCTCCACAGTTGACCCTCACCCAACAGGCTCAAATATGACTCTGTCCTAAAGGACCAATCCTGACTTTAACCAAGAAGGACTTAAGGAACTTTAATCTAAAACTTAGCATCCCTGTATCAGCTCATCCTTTCTATCAAAGTAATTCTTGAGCCCCATTATGATGATTACAGCCAATATGTGTTCCCTATGAATCAATCTCTATTCTGGCAACCTCTATAGTACCTTACCTTGAAGGGTACTATCATCTTCCTTTTTTTCATAATTTCAAGGAATTGAACCCCATTCTGGTAGTGAGTGCTACTACTATTGCAAAACATCCCTGCTGATGAATGTGTGTACCTATGAACCTCCAAAGAGTATGCCCCTGGAGTCCTTTATCAGTAATTACCCTATTGTTATCCTAAAGCCCACATAACATCCTAAGGTTGACCTCTGCTCTCCTGTGAATCTTCATGGAGCACACAGCCATGCATTTGCTATATGCCAGTCCCTATAACTGGAAGCAAAGCTAAGATGTCCAGCTTTATAAAATAAAATCAGGGTTTAATATCTCTTAGGGGATCCCACCTCCTAAAAAGGAAAGACATATAACATGTGTTTTGTGTCTCTTGCTCACCTGTGATACCTTTACCAGAAACTGTTTACTCTGACCTCTGATGTTTTCATCTTTCTTATTTCTATTGTTGTCTGAAGTCTCATCAGCAAAAGTCTCAGACTTTCCCCCTCACTATTTTTTTCTTGTCTGAAGTTTAGCAAACAGCAAACTTATCAGTGACTGAAGAGTGACGATCATGAAAAAAGATAAATTAATGTCTAATAAGTACATGAAAAAACATTCAATGCCATTAGTCAAATGTAAATTAAAGTTTCAGTGAAACAGGATTGCCTATCCACTAGAATGGTTAAAATAAAGGCAATAACAAGTGCTGTTGAAGATGTGGAGAAACTGGACCATCATACACTGCTGGTAGGAATGTAAAATGGTAGAGCCGTGTTGGAAAACAACTGGCAATTTTTTAAAAAGTTAAATATAAACTTACCATATGAACTGGCAATTCCATTCCTAGATATCCAAAAGAAATAAAAACATGTGTCTATGCAAAGACTTCAATGCAAATGCTCAAAGTAGTATCATTCATAATGGCCCAAAGTGGAAACAATCCAGGGACTCAAGGTGAGAATACAGATTTACTGCAAATGGGTATGAGGAAACTCTTTTGGATGATAAAAATATTCTAAGAATGGATTGTGGAGATTTTATAACTGTGCAAATTTATTTAAAATACTTCAGTTGTGCACTCAAAATAGGTGAATTTTATGATATATAAATTATAGCTCACTAAAGTTGTTAAAAATGTTTAATAAATAATAGGAAATAAAAAAGGAATTCCTAAAATGACACAACTCAGCTGCCTACTGCTCTATGAGATGAGGCACACATTTAAATAAAAGCTGAAACAAGATATTTTGCTAGTAACTATATATATAATGACTATCTGCTATTTTACTCAGAATAGTAAAATGTTACCATTTATTGTTCTCTATTCGAGTAATGACATATTAGGTTTTGGAATGTAATTTCCAATTTATTTTACTTTACAAACAATAACCACCAAACAAAGAGATTAGCGGAAGCTCATAAAAGATTACAATCTTAGGTAGAAATGGAACTCATAAAAGAATCTTCAAAATGAAGGGAATAAGAGAAGTTTCCTCCAACGGGGAGACAGAATCTAACATCTTTTCATATTCTAAGCAAATAAAAAAGGGGCCAGGATGATGCCCTCAATTTCCTCTTCAAAAACACCAGTGACTGGATAAAGTTTACAAACATTCTTGCAACACAAGACATGCCGGATCTCTTCAAAAGGACTGCACAAATTACAGTTAGAATGATATACTATGGAAATTCCAGATAAAGAAAACGTGCTTGAAAAATTTATCTTAAAAAAAAAATACATCTAAATGGAAATAGAGAAAGTGGGAGGAGAGTGGTGGGAGGGGTTGGGGCAAGAAACCCTGGACCCCAGACCAACCAGGGCTATTCTGGAACTCTCCAACAAGCCACTTAACCTGTCTAGGCCTCTGTCATTTTTCTTGATTAAATACAGTTAAATTCATCCTCATGTGATTATGATGATGACTAAAATAGTCAATGGTGGTGAAATGGTATCCTATAAAACTTAAGAATTATTTAGGTAGGATAATTTGGCAAGAAAAGGTTTAAGAATTTCCATTAAAGTCACTAATGAAATTTCACTCTATCATAATAAGAGATTCTATCATAAGAAATTCCCATATGTATTTCAATAGCTGATGAGACTCCAAAACACAACCACCCAATTGCCAGACAGGAAAAAAAAGTCAGTCAAAAGAATAGGGACATTAAAAGTAGAGAAATGAGATGAAAAAACTCCTTATAGTAGAAGGGCAAGTAATAAATGTACAAAGAATAATGGAATTTTTAAAAATCACTATTTGACAAATTTTACAGTAACAAATTTTTTCAAGCAAGAATCATCAATGTATGCTAAAGGGATCAAAGTTGAGGTGACAGGATATAATAGTCTCAAAATATCTCCCCCTTAACCACAAAGGGAAGAGAGAGCAACTTTATGATGGAGAAATCTAGCAGACCCCATCTTAATTAATGAGCAAATGAATATCACCAGTAACAAAGCAGTATCACATGTTTCTTGACATGTTGCACTGAGAGTAACACATAACATCTGTTGTATTCTGGAGGGAAATGAATAATCTAAATTTAATCATGAGGGAAAATCAAACAAACCCAAACTGAGGGACATTCAACCAAATAACTGGCCTACACTCTCCAAAATTATCAATGTCACACACAAAGAAAGATTAAGGAACTAATCCATTTTAAAGAAAACTAAAGAGACATGTTAACTGAAGACCATGCATGATGTGCAATTTCTTTTGCTATAAAGATATTATGAGGACAAGCAGCAAAATCTGAGTTAGGTTTATAGATTAGTTACTATTATTATTTCATTGTCCATTTTCTGCTTTTCATAATTATATCACATAATATCTGCATTAGTCTCCCTGGGCTGCCATAACAAATACCATATAGACTTGGGGGCTTTTACAACAGTTCTGGAGGCTAGAAGTCTGAAATCCAGGTGCCAGTGCAGTCAGATTCTGGGGAGAGCTCTAGTTCTGGCTTGAAGATGGCTACCTTCTGCCTGTGTCCACATGAGGCAGAGAGAGAAAGCAAGATTTCTGGTTTCTCTTCTTATAAGAGCACTGATCCTATCATGAAGGCCCCACCCTCCTAACCTTATCTAAACCTACTTACCTTTCCCCATTTCCAAATACTACCACATTTCAGGTTAGAGCTTCAACATAAGAATTTTGGAGGGACACAATTCTGTCCATAGCAATGTGCTTGTCAAAAAAAAAAAAAAGTTTATATACAAACATACATACAGAGGTGGAGGTGGGGGGGGTAGGGAAGAGATAAAGAGGGAAAAGCAAATATTAGTATTTGTGGATTCTGAAAGTTATATGAGGATTCTTTATACTATTTCAACTTTTCTGTAAGTCTGAAATTATGTCTAAATAAAAAGTTAAAAGAAAAAAAGCAGACCTCACTATTGACCTCTCTGATTGTACCTCTACACAGGTAGCTGACTGTGGCGATCAAAAGTTACTGGAAACTCTGACAGTTCTGCTGGCAAATACATAAAAATTATCAAAAGAAATCAGACACCTCAGTGCATTCCAAAAGCATCTTCCAAAGGAATATCTATATTGAAGTTATTTTCGATTTTCTTGTTCTTAAACCTTTTTTTCCATGTCCATAAATTTCTTCCAAGAGGGGAAACAGAGTATAACGTCTGTCCCTAATTGCATATAATCTGCTATTGTGGTTATAAAAGACTTAGTGATTACCACATCTATCTCCCTGCTAATGCTAAAAAAGCAAAATAAATTAGCACAAACTCTGCATGTTCTCCGAGAAGAATGTTTCATTTTCCCATTAAAAAAAAAGATTCTACACATGCAGCTTACTACATGTTATGATTGTGTTTTTTTCACTGTCTCATTTTTCTTCTTCTATGCCTTTCTCAGTAGGTAGTGAATTAACTTAAAGGCTGCTGGGAAATGCTTGCTGAACCGACTAACCAGTGATTATAGATATTAACACTCAAATATCCCTAATCATATAACACTATTTAATCTTCTTCGTAAAAGTCATCTTCAGATTGAACTTAGGAAATAATTTATCTAACCATTAGAACTAGGGCCTATGATGAAAAAAAAAAGATTCCTGTAAACTAAACTTAAAGGACGTTATCTTTTCAGAAACCTAAGTATTATTATAATGACAGTGGATATTAAGGCCTGTGGTGTGCTAGGACATTTTACATGGTCATATTTACTGTGTTATCTTCATTCTTTAATATACTGATTATCAAAGTAGTTAAAATGATTTGTTCAAGAATGCCCAATTTTTAAATAAGTGACAGGGCAAGTATTCAAATATATGTGTAAATGTATGTCCAAAACCCATAACCTTCAACTTTTCTTACTGTGGTGTTTCCCAAAGCCTATTCCACAAACTAAGGCGAGTATATGTTAAAGTAGGAAAATGGTTCCATAGTCAAATAAATTTAGAAATTTTTGAGCAAAACAAAATCAGGTTTTTTTTTTCTTCACTAGAAGGTTATCAGTCTTCAATATGCTACTATGTATTTTGAGTTTCAAAGAGGGAGATTAGTTTATAGGAGCATAGAAATTCTATTATTTTTAGAGAGTACCTATATGGGTATCTCACAAGTTATAAAAAGTAGCACTATGCCTTATTATCCAATAACACAGCAAAGAATCTATTTTTGTTCATTGATGCCAAGTGAAAGACTTGACTGTACCAAGGAAACTAAAGTAATGAAGAGAGACAACTTTTAACTTACCATTGTGCATCCTAGACCATCCATCTCTTTCACAGTCTCTGCCAGAAGACCCAAATAAAGCATCAGCCCTGGGACTTGGGGGGTCGACCTAGAAGAAGCAAGATTAAAAGTCAAAAAGAACTTAAATGTTCTTTCAGTCTCATGGCACCTGAAAATCAACTCAAATACATAGACTGTAGTCATCAGGTTAACATGATAGTGCCTGTGTGGTTCAGGCATGTTTTGAAGCCAGAGCTTAGTTGAGTATTTTGCTGTTCATGTTTAAATAAAATTGAAATTAAACTCCAGAATTTTTTAATTATAAATTTGAGTCTATTTTAAAATTAACAAATTTACAGTTGAAATGTCCATTACCCCATTGCCCAGTTGGCTTTCCATTACAAAACTACAAAAAGAGGAATCTATTTTGCCACATTTAAAAAGCAAGTTTAGCCATTTGCTGCTTAGATAGATGCTGAATTCAAACAGTGTCGTTACTTGGCTGTGTTCAGGGCCCAGCACACTTAGTGCTTTATAGCTCACAGATTATTACAGCTAAGCATGTTTTCTAATGAAAAAGAAAAAGGAGTGATATAAACTGTAAAAAAGATAGCTCTATTGATCAACATTAAAAACTTTGTACATAAAAGGACACTATTAAGAGAGTGAAAAGCAAACCATTTAATAAAAAATACATATTTTTTCAAATAATTATCTGATAAGGCATTAATATCCAGAATATATAAAGAAACTTCTACAACCCTGAAAAGAACTCCTCAATTAAAAAGTGGGAGAACTTAAATACACATTTCTCCAAAAGATATACAAATGACCAATAAGCACAAGAAAAAATATTCAATATCACTAATTATTAGGGAAATACCAATCAAAATCATAGTGAGAGATACTACTTAATGATGTAAATATAATTACTGCCTCTGAAGTATATACTTAAAATGGTTAAAATGGTAAATTTTATATTGTGTATATTTTACCACAATTTAAAAAAATTAAATTTTAAAAAAAGGTGAAAAGACAAGCCATAGAATGAAAAAAAAAAACTTACAAATCATACCTGATAAGGATTTAGAATCCTAAATACATAAAACAAACTTACAACTAAATATCAAAAAGTAAAAAAAAAAACAATTAAAAATGGACAAAGAACTTGAATAGACATTTCTCCAAAGAAAATATACAAATGGCTAAAAGCACATAAAAAGATGTTCAACATCATTACTTATTAGGGAAATGCACATCAAAACCATAATGAGAAAAAAAAGCCATAATGAGAGACCAATCCACACCCCCTAGGATGCTATAATAAAAAGAAATCAAAATAAAATAGTAAGTGTTAGTGAGACTGTGGATAAAGTGAAACCCTCAAACATTGCTGGAGAGAATGTAAAATGGGACAGCCACTGTGGAAAACAGTTTGACAATCCCTCAACAAGTTAAACACAGACACACCACATGACCCAGCAATTCCACTCCTAGGTATTAAAGCAATTAGGCATGAAAACAGATACTCAAATGGAAACTTGTGTATGAATGTTCATGGAAGCACTATTCACATAACCAAAAGGTGAAAACAGCCCAATGTCCATCAACAGATGAATGGACAAACAAAATGTGGTATATACCCACACAATGAAATATTATTCAACCATAAAAAGAACCAAGTACTGATACATGCTATAACATGAATGAAACTCAAAAACACTGTGCTAAATGAAAGATGCCAGACAGAAAGGTCTACGTATTGTAGGATTCCACTTAGATGAAAAGGCAGAGTAGGAGAATCCATATAGGAAGCAGATTAGTGGTTGCCAGGGGCTGAAGAAAGGGAGAAATGGTGAGTGAATGCTTAATGAGTACAGGGTTTCTGTTTAGGGATGACTGAAAAAGTACTGGAACTAGATCGTAGTGACAGTTGCACAACATGTACTTACTGCCACTGAAATTATACACTTTAAAATGGCTGAAGTGGTACATTTTATGAGTATTTTACTGCAATAGAAAAAAAAGATCCTATTCTGGATCAAGGTAAAAGAAAATAATTCTGTTTACCTTTTCTGGGATGGTTGTGCTAGTTTGTTTGGGAGCATTCTAGTTAGTTTCTTGACACTGCTCCTTACTATGTGAGACTGTTTTTCACACAATGTATGTAAAACTAGAAAGTCTTTCCTAAAAGTATTAACTTTTTACATATGCATGTATGAAATTATTTTTTTTGAGAGATGAGGGAAGGAGGGAGAGAGAAAGAGAGACAGAGAGCGTGCACGCAGGGGGAGGGAGGGGCAGAGGGAGAGAGAGATAACCTTAAGCAGACTCCATGCCCAGCATGGAGCCCGACGTGTGGCTCCATCTCACGACGCTGAGCTCATGACCTGAGTCGAAATCAAGAGTCGGATACTTAATCGACTGAGCCATCTAGGAGCCCATGAAATTAAAATTTTGTTTATCAATTTATTAAGTGCTTTTGAAATTATTAATGGCTATGGGAGAAGAAAAGACATCTCTATGCAAATACAATTGGAAAAATCCCATTTCTTATATGATAATGTAAACAATTTTCTTTTTTTTAAGATTTATGTATTTATTGGAGAGAGAGAGAGAGAGAGATCATGGAGGGGAGGGGCAGAGGGAGAGAATCTCAAGCAGACTCCCTGCTAAGCCCAGAGCTCGATGTGGCGCTCAATCTCATGATCCTGAGACCACCACCTGAGCCAAAATCAAGAGTTAGACTGAGCCACCCAGGCACCCCAATGTAAGCAATTTTCTAACTGTAAGCTTAGAAGCATGCATTTTTTTCTATGATCTGGAAAGCTATAAAGGAAATCTCTTCAATGAAAACATCAAGGCCTACACCTAGCAGTATTAGAATTATTCCACTTTGAACACTAGTGTGAAAAAACAGCAATTTAATGAGCACTTGAAAAGAAATTATTTCCCTCAACAATTCTTTTTTTTGTGTGTGGCTAACTCCCACTAACTATTACTGGTTATTTTGCCCATAGGCATTTTAATTAAAATGCTACTATTCCTTCAGATTAGAATTTAATATATCTTTTCAACTTAATTTACAACGGTGAGCCGTCATAAAATGAAAGGTTTTCTGCAACTGCCATCAAACCAGCAAGTAAATCTTATCTGGATATGTCCAAACAACAACAAAAAATGTGGCCAGCACCTATAAACAAATCTATAGAAAAAAAGACAAATGTAATCACAATAATCTCAATAAAATATTACCATTTAAAAGTACCCATTATAAGTTTTCTTTTTACAATAAAAAACCTGTTACTTAAGGTTAAAAGAATAAATGATTCGTAGTCAAAAATAAAAATGGAATGAAATGTTGCTTAATGTAATTATATCTAAAATTAAAAAAAATGTATCACACACAAAAAATCTGAATTTTCAGATGGTGTATTTTCAAAAACCCATTAGATTATCCAAGGAGCATCTTTACATGTTATATTTACATATTAGAATTTAGAAAAAAATGAATTAGACATTAAAGTCAGAAATAACTTTATAGATAACCCCAAAAGTTGTTTTGCTTCTGTAGGCACTTATATCTTAACATTCATTATTACTATTATATGTATTTATTAGTAATTTTTATTAAATTGCAATCTTTTATTAAAGAAATACTTTTAGGATAAAAATTCTTTACAAAAATTCAAGAAACTATGAGAATTCTAAGAAAGTCCTTTATTAAACATTCTGAAATATTACAGACCCCTAAAATTAGCCCAAGTCTACTTGACTATCACACGAACACAAGCTCTAAGCTTAAACCATATCAAAAGCAGTCTTCTGTTTGGGACGATAACAACTATGCTACCCTAACTCTCTTCACTTTCAAAGGCCTTCCCATCCTCATCAAATAGTGATTTGCTTCAAAGATCCACTATGTAAGGTTTACCCAAGGGACATAATATCAAAGGAAACTTAACTTTCCATTATAATTTTTAAAAAGGCTAGAAAAGGGGGGGTCTTCCTTTTCATAAAGAAAAGTTGGTCCTCTTTTAAAACCCTACTCTGCCATTTTAGTACTAATGTCAATTACATCTAAGTTCAATTTGTAGAGTTATTACACTGTCCAGTGTATAGTAAGAAAGGAAATGGATACTTAAAGGATTTAACATAGTATTCATAATGGAACTTGATCTCTGTCAGGTTCAAAGACTGAAAAAAGAATGTTCTTTTACTCTAATTTTCCATTTTAGATTCCTCGGCTAACAGTTCAGGAAAGAAAATTATTAATAGAAGCCCGAAGTTGAAAGAAGTTTCAGAACAATATTTTAGTGAAACAACAGATTAGATTGGTTTCAAATGGAAATGTTTAAGAGAACACATACATGTCTAATCACAAATGGAGGTTTATCTGTTTCTTTTTTGAATTCATAGGGTCCCAGATTTAAATGGGCCAGCCGCCGCCTGGTGTCTTCAGATAGCTCACACATGCGTCTTTTTGTGTAGGGAGATGGAGAGTGTGATTTTGAAGAAATTGTAGGCTGTTCGTAGTTTTTTGCATTTATGCAATATTTATTTCTCTCAGGTGACTTGGATTTTTTCTTTTGTGATCTTGATGTTGATGTTCTGCTTTGCAGTCTGCCGTGTGATTTTTCAACTGGAGCCGTATGGTAAATAAATTTATCCTAAACATAAAAAATAAAAATTAACATGGGTAGAAGCTATATGTAGAGATATATGTATATGTATCTATCTATAAGTTACAGGTAGAAAAAAACTTTAAAAATTAATTTAAGGCACATATAATCTATCAAAGCCAACTAGTCTTTCCTATCTATGCTAGATAACTCTTTGTCTAGTAGTTAATAAAGTACATGGTATTCTTAAGTCTAACAAGTACTTATGAAAATAAAAGCCCAATATTTAATCATTGGAAAAATCTAAGAAACAAGGTCAGAAAAACTAGTTTTCAGTGTACTAAAAAATTAACATAAACATTGGTTTATCATTTGTAATTAAGTATTCAAGTAACTGGCTATGTAATTTAAGAGGGCTTTTTTTCTTTTTCTTTTTTTTTAAGAAAGAGAGTATATGAATGGGGTGGGAAGACAGAGGGAGAGGGATGGAATCTTAAGCAGACTCCACGCTGAGCACAAAGCTCAATGTGGGGCTCAATCTCATGCCCCTGAAATCATAACCCCAGCCGAAATCAAGAGTCGGAGGCTTAACTGACTGAGCCACCCGGTGCCCCAAGAGGGCTCTCTTTAGTAATGTTGCAAATACACATGGCTAATTAGTTGCTTATGAAATCTTTATGGAGAAAATTATTAAAATAAGTTTCATTTATACTGCTATGATTAAATACATATATACAATGTGAACATCTGAAAAACGGCTTTATACATATTTTCATGAAATGTATTATTTGGATTATACAAGGTGATTAGGATCTTAAGATGTCTTCCAAATTAAAACTTTACAATTCAATACCAATAGCCATATCATCTTAATTCTGGTTCCATATTTTTATAAAAGTAAAAAAGTAAAAAGACATAAAAAACACATATAAACTTTAATGACTAGTACTCTACTAGTAAAACTGGTTAGCAGTCTAAAATTTTAAAAAACAAATGTTACATTTCTAAAATTTTTTTGCGTTATTAGGATAACATTTTATTTAGTCTCTGCCTTTTGAGTGCCTTAAAGTTTGGATTACAGGTAAATAATATAAGACCTCTTAATTCATTATCTAGAATTATAAGATTTCTAATATTAGAGAAAATGGACAGTTGAGAAACTTTGTCTTCCTAACTTTAATCATTTTAAAAACCTATCAATCCTACCTCCTTCTCTATTTTCTCAACCCCTCCTTCCCTAACTCACTAAGGGTATCTATTCTAAGTATATATTAAAACATAAATGTGATATAGAAGGGAAAAGAGTCAAATATTTTTAAAAAGTAGATAAACAGGAAAAATATATATTTTCCTAATTGGAAAATAAGTCCATGAGTTTCATACAGACCTGCAGCATCAGATTATTTCCTCATCTTTCCTCTACAGCTGTTGATACTCTCCCAGTCCTTCTCCCACCTTGTTCAATGACTTCAACAAGTAATTCAGAATTTTTCTACCATATCACACTTCATCTATCTCTATGACATCACACTAAGGCACAGAAGCAGGAATGTTAGCACATGCAAGGACCTTTGAGTTGTAATAAATGTTCAAGCAGTGAATCTGTCCAAGACTTTGGACTCAGACTTCTATTTCTCAGCTTTAATTACCTTTTTCCACCTCATCTTAGAGTTCATCATTATGCAGATCCATTGCATCTCAAACTCCGAAAATTCCTTGCTGACCAAAACTACTTTTCCTCATTCTACTTCTTTTATTCTCACTGAATCTGCTGCCTGCCCTCCTCACCTCCTCAGTCCCTGGACTTCTTTTTCCCCAGACCTTCATACATTTTTAATATCTCTTACCTTCAGACCCAGATGAACCCAACATCATCCATTTCAGCAATGCTGTAAAGTTCCTCCTTACCTACCTCTGATTATACCAAACCTAAAACAACTAACCCCACCTTCTTTCTTCATTACAATTTTTGAATGTTGAATACTATTAGAAGTTATAAACTGTGGAATATGTAGTACAGATACATGCTGTCTAACTCTATCCAATCCTTAATGTATCCTGTTACTGCCCAGGAAAACTTAAAATAGTGGCTGTTATGTGCTGTTAACACGATGGCTCCCTCTGGCCAACAGGATACTAGCTTGGGACAAAAAGAGAGACTTGAAAAAGTGCTATTGTCTTTTATTCCTTTTTGGAAACCTTCCTGCCTCCGTGTGAATGAGCCAAAATTAGCCTACTAGATGATGAAAGTCTTGTGGCCACCATCCCAGCTAAAATCAAGCAAATTATCAGAAATATAAAGTCCCTCCCAGACCAAAAACTCAGCCAACTACCAGACATGAATGATGCCATCATAGATCATTCAGCCCTAGCCTCGCCAGTTCAAACCAAAAGAATCAACCAATCAATCCACAGAACTGTCAAAAAGTTAGTGTTGCTTTTTACACAGCAAAAACTACCTGATCCAGCATACAAATTAATAAAACTACCATTGATATTTAACTATTAATAATAAATTCTACCTTTAGTAGGTAAAAAGAATAAGTGGAAAACTAGTTTTATTTCAGAAAATCACAATAATATACTTAATTTTTTCAATCCATCTAACTGGTGACAAAACATTAATTTGAAAATAATATGCCAAAAGGAATAAAGATCATTATAACTATTTGTAAACTTAAATAATTTTATAGTTTATTTCACTCATTCTGCTTTTAAAAACCAAAATGGCCTGTCTTATTCTTATGTTTGAACCTGAAAATGCTGCTTTGTAGCTATTAAAATTTTAATTGTAACTTTAATATTCACTTTTTAAAAAGCAGATTTATCACATTCTTAAATAAGGTCAAAGAAGATTAAAATTCTGGCTAAAATTTTAATGTGTATACTCTGTTGTGCCTACCAGATAATGTTTTCTATCTTGTATTTTAACCATTGTCTTCTCTCCTAATTATTAAAAAAAAAAAAACCTTAGGAACAGCCATCAAATTCATTAATTATATGTTACGTGCCAGACACATTGCCTATTCTCTAATTTAATCTTTAAAGCAGCCTTGTGAGGAACTTGAACCCAGATCTGTCTGATTTGAGGCATATTTTCTTAAACACTGTCTGACGCCAAAACCTATCCTATTTTCTTACATCTGTTCAATAAAGAACAAATGACAAACACTGAAATAGCAAGTTAAAAAAGAAATGAGTCTTCCCAAAAGTTTACAGAGGAAAACGTTAGTTCTTAAGTTCAATGAAACTAGTGATGAGGGGACAATTTTACATTTACGAAAGACTTTCCACCAAGCTGTACACTTAGAATGTACTTTTCTGTGCATATGCCATAGTTCATACAAAAAAGGACTTTTCTACCCATCCACCAGAAGGGCATACCCCGATGAGGAGAGAAAAATGTTGTCTGAGTGCAGGTAAAATACTGTTAATAATTTACAAATATACAGTTTTGCACAACAAGTCAGTAACATCTTTGCATTTGGCAAGCATAGTTTGTTAGATCTCTAATAGCTGCATTTCAGCTTGCATTTCAAAGATAATTAACTGTAGCCAAACTGGCACACTACGTATCTTGCTAAACAAAATAAGAATGATCCCCTTGATAATTTTATATAACCACGCTTTACCTTTCTTAGCTTACGTCACTGTTACCCTACTCAGCAAATTTACTCTGAAACTGAGAATGCAGTAAATTATTAGTACACTTTTTCCATCATAGGTCCAGTCGTGCCTTGTTTGGGTCCTCTGTGCTTTATATGTTACTGGCTCTTCATCACATGCTGGTCATTGTTACCTAATCATAATGCAACTGCATATGAGTGATGCCTAGACATTATTAGATAACCTGTGGACAAGGCAGTAAGATGATCCTGGTGACTCAGTAAAAAGTTAGACAAGAATGAAATATTAGGTCCAGATATCTCAGTTTACTAAAGGCAGTTTTTACAAATATAGAAGATACTGAGGTTGGAGTGTCCAAGCTTCCCTCAGTCTGATAGCATCAGTATGGCCACTAAACTGAGCAAGAGTCATATAAGAATTAGAGACACTCAAGAAACCATACTCACTAAACACCAATATCCCTGCATGAGAGAGAACCTCTGGTCACATTTGTTAAAAGGTATCCTTTGAACTTTCTGCAGTCACCTGTAACTTCTGTAAGATTTATAGAAGCCTCAGATCTAGCTCTCTGTGGGACTTCTTGATCTCAACATCTTTCTGGCAGGCTGATTGCTTTGCATTAAAAAAAAAAAAAAAGGCCCATAGAGTTACAAAATAATAACAATAACATCATGGCGCCATCTATCATGTGTACCAAACTCTTCACTCTCACATTTAAGATGCAACCAAACTGCTAAATACCTCTGATAATTGTTTTGCTTAAATTAAAGACTGACCCCCAAAAGTGAAAAGAGTTGCAGCCAAAATAAAAGAATAATTCTTGCCCAATGCCCATAAATATGAACAAATAAGTTAAACCATTAAACACTTTAAATGAGTTCAACCTGAGTGCGGCACTTCCTTGAACTTATCAGACATTCAGTAATCACTGAAGTTGTAGAAAATTCCAGCTTTGGAGCAATTCCCTGAGGGGAAAAAGGGTATTATTAGATATTTCAATTTTTAAAAAAATATAATTATTAGTGATAAAACTATGACCTGAAGTAACAAACACTTGTCAAGATTTAGCTGTTTCATTTGTTGGTTTGACCTTCTTATTAAAGATAAAGATAATACAGTGATGCTAAATTTTAGCAAGAAACAGTTTCATTGCTGATGATTCCCTTACAAGTGATTATATTACCTTTATGTAAAAATTAATATATTTTTTCATTTTCAAGTATTTCCCTGTCAAATTATTCTAAGATTTTTAAACGATGATATAATATTAAAGTCATAAATATATAAAAACACTTAATGGATTTGAGCTCTTTTTACTTTTACAAATTAAGACATACTTAACTACATAATCAAGAAATGCTTTTACAAACCCAGCCTTTGACATACTAACTTGAGAGTTTCAAACATCATATTACAGAAAAGGTAAATAATGAGTTGCCTAAGAATTAACTAAATGATTGCTTTTCTGCAAACATAACTTTTATTAATGAAGTCCATTATGCCTATTTGTTAGTTATCTATTGCCTCACAGGATATTAGTTAGCAGTTTAAAACAAGAGTGAACACTTATTATCTCAGATAGTTTCTATGGGTCAGGAATCTGGCAGAGGCGGAACTGGGTGGTTCTGGCTTGAAATCTCTGAGGCGATTGCAGTCAAGAGGTTGTTTGGGCTGTGGTCATCTACAGGTTTGCCTGAGGCAGGAGGATCTGCTTCCTAAGAAGGCTTGTTCACATAGCTATTGGCTGGAGGTCTCAGTTCTTTTCTAGATTTTAGCAAGAGGACTCAGCTCCTCTATCCCATAAACCTCTCCATAAGACCGCTCCAGTGTCCTCATGCCATGGCAGCTAGCTCTCCCAAAGCAAAGCAAGAAGGAAGCCATAATCGTTTTTATGACCTAGTCTACTAAATCTAACACTGTCACATCTATCACATCCTATTTATTAGAATCCTTGAAGTATAGCCCACACTCAAGGACAAAGAAGTTAGACTTCTTTTTCAGCAGAGGAATAACAAAAATTTTGTGGACATATTTTAAAACCACCACAGTCCACCCTCTGACCGCAAGTTACACTCCTTTCATGTGTAAACTAAACTCATGCTCTACAAAGAAAAGAAGAAAAGTTTCATCCTTTTGCAACTTCAGCTTGAAATCCAGGATGTTGGCATCTAAGTCAGATCCTTATTCAGCCTCCTCAGATGGTTCTTTAAGGACAGTTCTTTAAGGCCAGTTCCTCATAGTTAGAAGACTTATGAAACAAAGAGACAAGTTATCTGCCCCACATGTACCTAAAGCACACACATGCAGCAGGTGCAGGATAATCACTCCAGATATTCTTATTCAAAAAGGGAGTAAACAAGAGTCAAATGGGCATCACTGGTCCATAGAAATTCTGAAATCCAGCCAAGAAAATGTTAGAAGTTCCTTGATTAGAAGTTTAGTCCTGGTCCTGCCCAGAAATAACTATCCTTTGGACTCCTCTGGGCTCTTGCTTCCAACCTTTGAATTATCACTCCTTTCCAAGGAGAAGTAGACCATATTTGGAGTGCACAGTGTTCTGAGCGTGAGTCCTGTCAACAGAATTTTGGGGGTCCAAAGGCCTTTTCATTCTGTGAGATCTCTCTGCATTTCAGACCAAGCTGGTGGTGTTTCTACCAATATAACACTCTTAAAAAACATATGGGTTCTCATATGAATCTTACTGAAGTTCACTCCATTAGACACAAGTTGCACCCTTCTCTACACTCAGCTTCTGCTGAGACTGCCCTTTAGCATCTTCAAAAAACTTAAATTAAATTATTAATCATTAACTTGATTAAATTATTTTCTGAGACAACATCTTGGATCTTTCTGAAATTTTAATGAAGGATTTTATAGTTATACCTTTGGTTTCACCATCAGACCACAGTTTCCAGAAGTGCCTGGAATGATTTTTACTCAGAAGTCATTCCTTAATTTTAACATTATTTGCCATTGGAAAAGGCTGGGAATCTTCAGAAACAGTAAATTCCAATTCCTTTTTGCTAAACAGCCTTTCCTTTGCTTATCTCTCTCCTCTCATATTTTGCTATAAAGCAGCAAGAAAACCAAGCAGACCCTCTAACTCTCTAACCAAAAGTCTTAGACACACCATCCATTTCATTAGATATTTCTCTCCTTCCCACATTACCGCAGGCAACTGTGTGGCTAAACTTTCTGCCATTATATAACAAGGAACCCTTTTATCCCTAATTTCCAATAGCATTTACCTTATTTTCCTGCAAACACACATCTGAGTTTCTTCAACACCTTTCAAGCTTTCACAAACATTCTAGCAAAGCTTTTCCAGCTTCTGCCTCTCTATAGAGGTGCTTTAATGTCTTCACACGTGGCAGTTGGCTTAGCCCAAAGTGACTGATACAGTAGTGAGAGCAAGGAGGAAGCCACAGTGCATTTAATGACCTGGTCTCCAGTCTAATACTGTCACTGAATCATGTTTTATCTGTTAGAGTCACTAAGTGGAGACTGGAGAATTAGCTCTGCCTTTGGAAGAGAGAAGCATCAAATCATCTGTGGACATATTTTATAACTACCATAGCCTGGATTGCAACTTATCACTTTACCCTTCCCCATATATTGCTGGTCACATAGTAAATACTCAGTGTTTTAGCCATTATTTTCACTGAGCTTTCAAAACCATTATGTATTAGTTAGGGTTCTCCAGGAAAACAGAACATATATATATATATATATATATATATATATATAATATACTATACTAATATATATATATAGAGAGAGAGATTTATTTTAAGGAATTGGTTCATGCAATTGTGAGAGTGGCAAGCCCAAAATCCATAGGGCAATCCACAAGCTGGCAACTCAGACAAAAAGTTGATATTGCAATCTTAAGTGTGAAATTTGCAAGCAAGCTAGCAGGCTGGAAACTCAGGAAGTATTTCTGCATAACAGTTTTGAGGCAGAATTCCTTATTGTTTAGGAAACCTCAGTTTTTGCTCTTCAGGCCTCAACTAATTGAAATGAGATCCACCTACATTGTCAATGGTAATCTCTTATACTTAAAGTCAACTGTTTGTAAATATTAATTACATATACAAAATACTTTCACAGTAACATCTAGACTACCATTTGGCCAAACAACTGGGCACCATAACCTAACCAAGTTGAGGCATAAAATTAATCATCACTCCATCTCAAATACCAGTTCCTTTATGAAGTCTACGAGATGTAATTCATTCATTCAATTCAATCAAGTGGCATTTAAGTGCCTACTCCATGCAAAGTACTGTGCTGAGAGTTAAATTCAAAGATGAGAAAGCCACAGATTCTGTTTCTATGGAGTTCACAGTCTAAAGGGGGTATTATCATCAGCACTGTCATCACCTCGACAGCCATCACCATATCACTCTCATTTACAGAGCGTTCTCCGTGCCAGGTACTGCTGTAACCATTTACAAGGTGTCATTAATCCACCCAGCAGCCCTATGATATCTTCATATGATAGTGCTTTGCTCGAGTTTAGTCAGGTAGTCTGTGAGAGTGCCAGGATTTAATCCCAGATGTGATGGAATTCTTGCCACAGCAATGGGTTCAGGAGAACAGCCTAAGACTCAGACAGATGTCACAAGAATTCTTTTTTTTTTTTTAAAGATTTTATTTATTTGACAGAGAGAGACACAGCCAGAGAGGGAACACAAGCAGGGGGAGTGGGAGAGGGAGAAGCAGGCTTTCTGCGGAGCAAGGAGCCCGATGTGGGACTCGATCCAAGGACCCTGGGATCATGACCTGAGCCGAAGGCAGACACTTAACGACAGCCACCCAGGCGCCCCTGTCACAAGAATTCTGAAGAAGGGTGCACTGTCTTCTGCCAGTGCAACAAACTACTGATGGGAGTGTTTTATCCATTCACATTTAAATACAATAATTGTATGACTGGATTTATATCTGCCATTTTGCTATTCACTTTATATGTGCCATATCTTTTGATTCTTCCAATCTTTCTAGGAGTCTCACCTATATATATACATAGCTTGGTAGTCATCCCATGAACCTGTAAGGGTTCCACTCTTTGTTGATTATCTGTATGTGGCTTGGGGAATGCATTCAAAGATAGTCAGGTCTGCAGTTTCTACTGAGTTTCACTTGTTGCTGGGCTCTCACAGTCTCGGTCTCTCATTGCATGTGCATTGTTTCAGAAACAGCCAGGAATGGGTGGAGAGCTTATCTCAGCCCTTTTACTGCTCCCTTACTTCTGTGAACTTTCTGGCAGATGGGCTACTCACTCTAATTGGAACTGCCATTGGCCTATCAAAGCTGTGGGGTTTCTTTCATCCACTTGCATCTGAATCCAGTGAAGCCACACTATCTGTCCTTATGATTCTGACACCAATTCCAATGTGTGGGTTTTCCAACACCACCAAGCAATTCTCTGTGACACCAGGTAGGGGGTCCTATAATTTAACTCAGTTCTGACACTATCTACCTGGCAACAGCATCAGATCCCAGAGGTTAAGGGATCAGTCCCACAAGACTGCCCAGCCTGCTTCAGATGCAATCACACGACTGGGTTGTTACCTGTGTTCCCGACCAATCAGGTATAATTTGGAGGTCCCCATGACCGCCTCCCCTGGTTTAATTAATTGGATAGAGAGGCTCACACAACTCAGGAAAATAGTTTACTGTTTACCAATTTATTACAAAAGAATATGATAAATGATACAGATGAATATCCAAAGGGAAGAGATTCATGGAGCAAAGTATGTGGGAAGGGACATGGAGCAATGCCCTCCCCAGGGAAACCACTCTCCCAGGAGCTGCCTCCATGAGTCCGGCAACCTAAGAGCTCTCTAAACCCAGGCCCTTTGGGCTTCTATGGAGGTTTCATTACATAGGCATGATTGATTAAATCACTGGCCATTGGTATTTTAATGCAATCTCCAGCCTTATCTATTCTCCCCAGAGGTCAAGGGGCTGAAAGTTTTAACCCTCTAATACCAGGGTTGTTCCTCCTGGCAACCAGCCCCCATCCTTAGGTTATACAGGGGCTTTCCAAAAGTCACCTCATTAACATAACAAAAGACACCTTTATTGCTCCCCATCACTTAGAAAATTCCAAGGATTTTGGGAGCTTTGTGCCAGAACAAGGATAAAGACCAAATATATATTTCTTACTTTAAATCACAGTATCATAGTCTCACTCTCCAAAATTGATTCTGACCCCTCTAGTAGCAGAGCTTCTGATTTTTCTGCCCAGCCCCAGGACTGGTGAAGCTACAATTCTCACTGGCCTTGCAGGGTATGGAAGCTGTCCCAGGCAAGAAGGCCACATGCTGCCGCCATTTTTATCCAACGTTTCAGCCGTTATTTAAGCATAAACACCCTTTTTTTTTTAAAATTCTAGTTAGTTAACATACAGTGTAATATTAGTTTCAGGTGTATAATATAGTTATTCAACACTTCCTTATAACATCCGGAACTTAATCTGTCTCAATTGTCTTAATTGCCAGTTTCCAGTGTCCTGAAATTGTTTTTGTGATGAATTTGTCCAGTTTTTTATGGAGAGAGGAACTGCCTGTTTTTTACGGAGAGAGGAACTGCCAACCTCCTCACACCACCATATATATATATATATATATATATATATATATATATATATATATATATATATATATATATGTATATATACACATACACACACATATATATACACATACATATATATATGTATTTTTTGCCTTAGTAATCCAACATCTGAATGTATGTAAAAAACCCAAAGTAAATGAAGAAGATACTTATTAATGGCCCATACTTTTATGTTTATATTGCCAATTTGTTATAATACAGCATTTTAAATTACTTTCAAAACACCATAATTTTAAAATCAGATTTTTTTTCATTGCAGGCTTCCATACATTTGCTGAAACACTCTTTGAAGGTTTTCATAATATGGAAGATGGCTAATGGACACTGATAATATCCCAAAGGAAGTACATTTTCGTAGATTTGCTAGTCAACTTTTAAACTTCTAGCAAGCAGAAGTTGCTATTTCCCAGAACAGAGCATATCATAAACCTAGACCTATAGGGAAAAGTATTTAATTTACCATACTAGCTCATATATCACCCCACTTTCCTTACTCATACTATTTTAACATTTTATAAAGATAGTAAAAAAATGTTTGTCCAAATTATTTCAACCTAGACATCTTTTGCTTTTTTTCTTCTTTGAAATAGCAGGGTCTTCTCTCAGTTTCTCTAAGTGGAAGACATTTTCAGGGATAAATATATTTCTAAATGACCCAACAAAAGTTGAAGGGAGTTGGGGGAAAGGATGGAAGAGTTGGTTGTCACGATGCAGCTTTCACTTTTAGGTATATAAATGTATATTTCCATGACATGAACATACAACAATTAATCTATCCAAACTCCTACTAATGAACATTTAAATTATTCCGATTTTTCACTATTATGAACAATGCTATCAATGAACATCCCTAGAAAGGCTCTTAGTATACCAGAGAGAATACATCTCCATGAAACATACCTAGAGAAAAGCTATGAGAATCTTTGCTTTTACTAGATAACTCTGAATTGTGGTGGTTCCAACTTACATAGCATACCAGTATGGAAGAGCTTCCAGTTTTTCACACTTCTAATATGGTCATATTTTATTAAATTTTACCAACCTTATGGCTATAAAAATGAAATCATAAGGTTGTTTTAGTTTGGATTTCCCTATATGCTAATGAAATCGAGCACCTTTTCAAATGATTATTGGTCATTCTTTTGAGAGAACAATAAAGAGACAGATAGGGAAGGTGGGGAGGTGGGAGGCAGAAGGAGAGGAGAAAAATCTGAGGAATATAAGGCAAATTAACACTTGTTAATTCTGGATGAAAGATGCATGGGCTTTGTTCAGATTTCAGTATGTTTAAAATAACATCATAATTTCATAAAAAAATTATGTTTTGAACCAAATTAAACTTTGAGTTAGTTCTTCACATTTCAGGTATTAAAGCCTACGTGGTGGTTTTTGACAATGATCCTACATCACAGACTGATTGAGAAAATACACTTACTCGAAGGCCAGAAATCCTCCTCATGGTAACCTGGCGGTTTGAATCATGGTGTCCAGAAATTTGGTTTGGACCCGGGAACATGAAATCCCGTGTATTTTCATCATACGTAGACAGTGTTTCACCCACTACAAGAAAGATACCCTATGATTCAAATTATAATAAAATATTCTATTTAGAAACAATATGATCAAGTACAATATATATAGTGCCTGATGCCTTACTGAAATTTCTGCTTCAGGGTCATTTTTTTTTTTCTATGAAAGGAAAATTAAAAGAAAGTTATGCTAAATGGATTCCTTATTCAGAAATGTAGTACATATTACTAATTCTCCCTCCCCCTTTTATAGAAGGGAGATATTCATGTAAATTTTATGAGTACCTATGTGTTTCTAGAGAAAAAAAGTCCTTGTAAACATATCAAGTTGGTATGACATTTACAAATCTAAAATGTAATTACCATCTCCATAAATTTTTCCTATCTTCCATTCTTTTCTAATTGCCATTGTAAGACATTAGGTTACATGTTGGAAAAAAATGTAGACATCTTCTAGAATTTGTGGTTACCCAAATTAAGTATAGATGTAATATTCAAAATCTTTTAGATTACTAATTTTTAGTAACATATAGCTCTCCACTTTTCACATAGAATAATTATTTGATTAAGATAGATTTCTCCTATACTCACAGAAGTAAATAACAAAAATCAAGTTATCCTCCATATTTTAATTTTAATTTTACCTACCCCAGAGATTTGTAATGTTCACTAAACAGTTAAGGTTTTATTCCACTCCCCATTCCCAGTAACAGTCAACACACAAAAACAAAGATAATTACCTTATCAATAAAAAAATGTTGTTTGAGAAAAATCACAAAAACTCAAAGTCAATTTTTATGAATGTCACAAAATATGCTAGGATGATAGCATATAATTTTCCACCTTCCTTTATTACTATTTATTCAGTTTTAGAATATGTTCAAATATGATTCATGCCAATTGTTATGTATTTATTATTTTCATCTATTGCTGTTCTGTGCATAGTGGACCAATACTAGAAACTCAACTTCATTCTTAATTTGGGAAGAAAGGGAAAATATCTATTTTTTAAAAGCATTTTTTGACATGGGTTTGCACATCAATTACCTTATCAAAATATAATACAGTACCTGGTGGAACTAGTTGAATCAACTCAAACAATGCTGTATCATCTGAAAGGTTAAAGAAAAATTTCCTTAAATTAACAATAAACAAAAATTAGTTACTTTATCATAAAAGTATCTAAAAGTCAAAGTAATTACTGGGTACACTACATATATGTTTATATCTTAGTGTACTGTGTATATTTTTTGATTGCTATGTCTCTTAGGGCTTTATTAATCAATAGTAGAGATTGTCCCTTCAGTCTCTCTGGGTTTTTTTCCGATTTTTTTTAAACTTTATCTTTTTAGAGCAGTTTTAGGTTTACAACAAAATTGAGAGGAAAATACAGAGATTTCCCATATATTGCTGTCCCCACACATGCATAGCCTCTCTACCATCAACAGCACTCACAGGAATGGCACATTTTTTTTTTTTTTTACCAAGGATGAACCCCCATAGTCACATAATAGTCACCCAAAATCCATAGTTTATCTTGAGGCTCACTCTTGGTGATGTATACTCTCTGGATTTGGAGAAATAAATGCATAATGACATACATATTCCATCATTATAGTATCATTCATAGTATTTTCACTTCCCTGATTTTCCTCTGTGCTATGTCTATTCATCTCTCTCCTCCACTTCAATTTGCTCCGACAAGCAACCACTGATCTTTTTACTGTCCCCATAGCTTTGCCTTTTCCAGAATGTCATATTAAAATCATACAGTATTCAGGTTTTTCGCATTGGCTTCTTTCACTCAGTAACATGCATTTAAGTGTCCTTCATGTTGTTTGTGGCTTGATAGCTCATTTCTTGTAAGTTCTCAATAATATTCATTGTCTGGATGTACCACACTTTATCCATTCACCTACTATAGGCACCTTGGTTGCTTCCAAGTTTTGGTAGTTACAAAGCTGCTCTAAACAACCTTGTGCAGGTTTTTACATGGACATAAGTTTTTAACTCCTTTGGGTAAATACCAAAAAGGGTAGTTGCTGGATTATATGTTAGGAGTGTGCTTAGTTTTGTAATAAACCACCAGTCTCCAAATTGCTGTTCCATTATGAATTCTCACCAGCTATATAAGAAGAATTCTTTTTGCTCAATACCTCACCAACATTTGGTGCTGTCAGTGTTTTGGATTTTGGCCATTCTAGCAGTGTGGTGGTACCTTGTTTTAATTTGAATTTCCCCAGAGACATATGATGTGGAACATCTTTTCATATGCTTATTTGCCATCTTTATATCTTCTTTGATGAAGTATCTGTTAAGGTCTTTGGCCAATTTAAAAATAATGTTGTTTGTTATTTTATTATTGAGTTTTAAAAGTTCTTTGTATATTTTGGATAAATGTCCTTATTAATATTTTATAAATATTTTCTCCCAATATGTGGTTTATCTTCTAATTCTCTTGATATTGTCTTTCACAGAGTAGAATTTTTAATTTTTTTTAAAGATTTTATTTATTTATTTGACAGAGAGAGACAGCCAGAGAGGGAACACAAGCAGGGGGAGAGGGAGAAGCAGGCTCCCCGCAGAGCAGGGAGCCCGATGCGGGGCTCGATCCCAGGACCCTGGGATCATGACCTGAGCCCAAGGCAGACGCTTAATGACTGGGCCACCCAGGTGCCCTGAAATTTTTAATTTAAATGAAGTCCAGTTTGTCAATTATTTCTTTCATGGATGATGTCTTTCGTGTTGTATCTAAAAAGGCATCATCGTACTCAAGGTCATCTAGGTTTCTTCCTATGTTAGTTTCTAACAGTTTTATGGGTTTTGTATTTACAGTTAGGTCTATGATCTATTTTCAGTTAATTTTTGTGAAGGGTGTATGGTCTGTATCTAGATTCATTTTTGAATGTGTTCTAGCACCAGTTTTTGAAAAAACTCTTTGTTCCACTGTATTGCCTTTGCTCCTTTGTCAAAGTCAGTTGATTATATTTATGGGGGTCTATTTCTGGGCTCTCTGTATATCTTTATGAATAGAAATTTGTCTTATTTCTTAAGCAGAGCTGTGAGGACAGTGGGATATATTATATAATTCCTTATATTTTTAATATGTCTGAAGTATTTTATAATACATTTATAAAAATAAGAATAAAAGATGCACTATGTCTTGCCTCCCATTACAGGACCCATGAAAAAGGCATAATCTCTTTCTTTCTTTAAATTCTGCCATTATCATTCAAGGGAAGTCTCAATCATTTAACCCAATACCAGTACATCCAATCTATGAAGAAATATTAAATACTTCCTATAGGTTATAATTTGTAATAAGAAAAAAAACCTGATATGGCCCTTTTCCTCAAGAGCCTTACACTGCATTGAAAATGTAAACATTAAAGGAAATAAACACACAAATAAATTGTAACTACAAACCACAGGTGCAATGAAGGCACTGCAGGTAGTGCTATAAAAGACTATATTAACAGGACCTAATCTAGTCAGGGAGTCAGAGAAGCCTGAAGAAGAGCTCTTTAGGATCTGATCTATAGCATGAACAGGTGTAAACTGGGGGGACTGGGGAGGTAGAGTTTTTACACTTGATCTTAGCCAAAAGGCCGAGAAGCGATGGGGGGGTAGAGTTTTTTAAGCAGGAGAAACAGGATGTACAAAGGCTTTAAGCAGAACACAGCAGGGTAATCTGAGAGATTAGGTATTTGAAAAATAACCCTTCTGCAAAAATCAACTTGAAAAGGTAAACAATGAAAGCATGAGAGACCTAACAAGGTAGGAAAAAATTATGTTTGAAACTCAGTATAAGAAGGAAACACAGAGAAATAAGCCTGGCATTTGAGGCTGCTTTTCTTTTTGGATATCTGACAGTCCTGGTAGAGGTAGCTTAGAGGCTGAAAAGCTGAACATAGCTTTTGATAAATTCAAGTAAAGGACCAAAAATTGGAGTATTGTGGCCTTGGAAAAGGATAGGAGGGGAGGTGTGCTTGTAAGAGACAATAGCCTGATAAACTGGCTAGGCTATAAGACTGGATCTTGAAAAGATAACTACAAGGGTAAAGAGTAAACTAAAAATAGATAGCCAACACTATATACTGCATGTTTTTATTCCTCCCAAAATTCATATGTTGAATTCCCCCCAATGTGATGTTCGGAGTTGGGGCCTTTGGGAGGTAGGGCAAAGCCCTCATAATGAGATTGGTACCAATATAAAAGAGACCCCCCAAGAGCTTCCTTGCTCCTTCTTTCACTTGAGGATACAGAGAAAAGATGGCTACCTATGAACAGAAAGGGAACCCACACCAAACACCAAATCTGCTCACCTTGATCTGAGACTTCCCAGCCTCCAGAACTGTAAAGAAATAAACTTTCATAGTTTGTAAGCCACCTAGTCTATGTTATTTTGTTACAGCAATCCAAATGAACTAAGACAGCCAACTAGTAACTAAGGGCTAAATCTGAATCATCCCAAGTCCTGTCTGAATTAAGGTGATCCAGAATTGCTAATGCCCCCTACAAATCTGCCAAATCAATCATAAATCTTTTCTAAAAGAAAATATCATCATCTAAGTTTTCAAATTATTTCAAAAATTTTTACATTCGAAGTCTGACAATCAATGAAAACCGACCAAGTATACAGGAAAAATGAAAATTGTGATCGAAAAACAAGAAAAATAACAGACAGGGCGCCTGGGTGGCTCAGTTGGTTAAGTGACTGCCTTCGGCTCAGGTCATGATCCTAGAGTCCCGGGATCGAGTCCCACGTCGGGCTCCCTGCTCAGCAGGGAGTCTGCCTCTCTCTCTGACCCTCCCCCCTCTCATGCTCCGATCTCATTCTCTCTCTCTCAAATAAATAAATAAAATCTTTAAAAAAAAATACTTAAAAAAAAAAAAGAAAGAAAAATAACAGACAACAAAAGCAGGTCAACCGAAGAATCCAGAAAAATTAGTTATCAGACTGGGACTTAAAATATGCTTAATACGCTCAATAAAATAAAATGCAAGGTTGAGAATGTTAGTAGAGAACTAGAAACTGTTATGAAGAACCAAAGGGAAATTTTTTAACTGAAAAATAAAATAGCAACAACAACAAGAAGAGACCCATAACAGGTAGATTTATCAGCAGATTATAAATGACCCTGGAAAGATCTACAGAATTAGAAGACAAAAGTAAATATCTTGAGAAAAGCACAGAAAGCCAAAAGGATGGAGAATATAAGAAAGGGGGGAAAAGGATACAGTAAGAGGGTCTAACAATGAGTAGTTGGATTTGCAAAAGGAAAGAAGAGAAAGGGACAAAAGCAATATTTGAAAGGTTAATGCCTGAGAATTTATTTGAAGAAAGATACCAAGATACAAACACCAAGCAGAATATATTTTAAAATATACATACACATACATATACACATATATGTAGAGTTGGGCACATCAAAGCAAAACTACAGGAAAAAAAGACGAAAGAGAAGATATTAAAGGAAGCCAGTGGAAAATGACAGAATATCTTTAATGAAATAACAATAAAATCGACAGATGATTTCTCAACAAAAACTTAGGGAATGAAAAGACAATGGGACAGTATTTTCTAAGGGCTAGGAGGCAATAATCCCAAGTTCAGCAAAACTACCCTTCAAAAATTAAGACAAAATAAAGATATTTTCAAATAAATAAAAATCAAGATAATCCATCACCAAAAGACCACTGAGAAAGGAACTGTGAAAGAATTTTCTTCAGAAAAAAGCAATAAACTAAGAAAGAAGCTCAAAAATGAAAGGAAATAAAGAACAACCAAAAAGGTAAAATATGGTTGTAAAGTGAAAATATGATGCCGATACAACAATAACAATAGTATTTTGTGTAGTTTAACTGCATACTAATCTAAAATACAGGAAAAAAAACCCACATAAAATCTAGAAGGGACATAAATGAAGTCAAGTAGTTGTAAGCTTCTCCACAACCTAGAAAAGGTAAAAATAAAAATACATACATTAGGGTTTGATAAGTGAAGCATGCATTCTGCAACCTCTATGGTAACCACTGAAAAAAACAAAACAGTAAAGAACATGCACCTCCAAGATAATCAAGTAGAAATGAAAGAGCAAAAAATAGAAGA